TGAGGTATGTACATGACCGATAAGATATGTATAGGCATGCTTGAAAGGACATGCTGAACAAGAGTTAATCTTCCTCCAACAGACAAGTAAAAATTTCTAGCTAGATATTTTCTTTCTTACCTTCATAATTAGCGACTCGAAATGTCTAATACACAAACGGCCTGGAGATATTGGAGCAACCAAATAGGTAATTGGAAAAAACCCTTGTGTGAAGCAACTCAACTGGAGTAGTTCATTCTTTCTCGATAAGGGTATGTGCTTCGAGAAAAAGATAGCTGATTTCTTGTGATTCACTTTTTGCCCCGACATATTTTCATAAATACTCCACCACTGCTTTAATAGATTATTTGCTTCCATTACAAAAAAATAATTAGATCATAAGCATATAGCAAGTGAGATATACGAGGTGCTCCAACAGGAAGAGAATAATTTTCAATGCGTTGATCCAAATAAGCCTGTCGTAGCATGCATGTAAGAGTCTCTTCTGCAATAATGAACAAGTGTGGAGAAAGGGGATCTTCCTGATGGATTCCCTGGGAAGATTTGAAAAAGCCTCGATAGGTGTCATGCATCATCACCAAGAATGTAGGTGAGTCAATACAATTTTATCTTAACTGATAAAATTGTGTAGAAAACCCAAAAGCGTTTAGGACTGCCATCAAGAATTTCCATTCAACCCTATCATACGCTTTCATCATGTCTACTTTAAGCATTACATTCCCGCCTCGTATCTTTCTGTTAAAAACTCTGAAGTAGCTCTTGTACCAGAGCAATGTTGTCGAAAATACTCCCACCTTCAATGAAAGCCCCTTGTTCCTTCGAAATAAATTTAGGAAGTAAATGTTTCAATCTATTAACAATTACCGTGGTAAAGCATTTGTAGATCACTGAACATAAGCTAATGGGTCTGAAGTCTCCAAACTTGCCTAAAACTTTGACTTTCGAGATAAGAACAATATAAGTTGATGTGTAAAAATTGGGGAGCATAGAACCACTAAAGAAATCCTCCCTTGCCTCCCAAACATCTTCTCCAACAATATCCCAACAGCTCATGTAAAAACTTAATGAGCAACCCTCAGGGCTAGGGCTATTATCCTGTGGAATGCTTCCCATTGCAGCTTTCACTTCCTCGCATAATCTGATATTATCTTCCAGTGATAAGCTCAGTGTAATCAATGAATCCAACAATTCCATCCTCGGTATGACATTATCAGTGGTAAGTAACTCATGAAAACAATCAACTGCTCCGTCATGGACTGATTACGGTCTGTCAAGTGCTGATCCATCCTGTAAAGTCATGCTATAATTCCAAGATTTTTTTCGACGTTTGGCAATTGACGCATGAAAGAACTTGGTATTAGCATCCCCTCTTTTAACCATTTCACTTTAGTTTATTGTGCCAAGAAAATTTCTTCCCGCCGAATATAGTCCTTCAAATCAAGTCTTGTTGCAATTAATTCCCTTTCATCCCGCACATTACCAAAATTTACAACTTGATCTTCAAGCTTAACAGTTTTGTCCACTCCACTATGCGACATTTGATATGCCTAAAATCGCTTTTGTTCCACTTCCGCAAAATTGGTTTCAACCTCCTCAATTTTTCTCCAAGTTTGAATAAACCTAAGCTTCTAGTTGGTTTTTCCCAACTTTCTTTTACAGGAGGTAAAAAGCCTACATGGTCTATCCAAATTCATTGAAAATAAAAAGGTGGTGGTCCATAACATTCTTGCTGTGCCAAAAATTGAAATAACATTGGACAATGATCAGAACTAGATCTAGATAAAACCTTAGCACAAGCCACTCCAAAATGAGTTAATAAAGAATTATTAACTAAGATTCTGTCCAACTTCTCCCAAATACAACCACTCCCTTCTTGCATATTACACCATGTAAAAATAGTACCTTCTGTCTAAAGTTCTTGAAGGCTACAGCTTGATATACAGTCATTAAATTCCCGCTTTGGGAGATCTGGTTTTGGTGTCCTGCCAACCTTTTCTGTATCACTACAAAAAATGTTGAAATCGCCACCAGCTAGCCAAGGTATGTCTTGGCGTTGCAAAGAAACCAAATCTCTCCATTAGTCTACATGCCCAATTTGAAAATAGCTCACGTAAACCATAATGACTAGACAAGAGACCCCCTCCTTACCAAACATACCAGTAATATGTTGACGTGAAACAGTTACTTCCTCAAATAACAAGTCATCCTCCCAAAAAAGCCAGATCTTCCCATTAAATAAATAATTAGAAAAAAATTAGGGAGACGTAATCTGTGCGTCCATCTTCTAATCTTCAAAATTCACTGCAAAGGTTCCAAAATTGTTACAACACTTGTATTAAATTTAGACATAATATCGTTGAGTTGAGTCCTTGATGCTCCCAACCCTCTTACATATCAAAAGTTTGTCCGTCATTTTGAAGAGGTTTTAGAGCGTGTAAGAACCTCGGACAGCGTTATGACTTTTTTTCTTTTTCTGACGTTGGGATATGGTTGTTCTTGCTTGTGCCATATTTTCCTGCTCGCACTCTACGTCTCCACGATTTGGGCATTCACCAGAAGATTTTCCTTGTTGCATTAATTCACATGAAGTATCGGGTTGATTGTCATTCAAGTCCACTTGGTTTGGGGGATGAGCGATCCCATTCATTTCCTATATTGGCTCCTCCAATATACCCACTTCCACCTCAATGGCCTCCTTCACATGTTGAATAAAAATTTCCTATTGAAATATGTCACGATGACCACCAAACTCCTGCAGAGGACTTCCATTCCCTGTTTTTTCTCTAAGGTTAAAAGCTCATTATCGTGTTCGACAACAATCTGTTCAAAAGACTCTCTTTCCCCTTCAATAAAACCTGGAGCCTGAAGCAAATCTCCCTATTCTTTCAGCACTTCAGTGACATCTTCGAACTCCACAGTAGAAGGAGTAACCTGTTTCTCTAGTGCATCCTTGTTTCCATTTTTTCCTGTTATGACTTGAGCAGTTTCCTATGTACCATGATATTCTGTAGAGATAGGGGCCAAAGACAATTTATTCTGTGATGATTCCCCCTCCTCCATCATTGAGCCATTGCCACCATAGAAACAATTTAAAGCCCTTGCACTAGTGCTAACAAGATTAAACATACCTTTATCTCTCCAGATACAATGCTCCTTCTAAAATTAATATAGTACAACATTAAATTTCTTGGACGAACCTATGCTTTGGTTGTACTCTTTTAGAACGAAAGATGTTGAGTAATAATTATCGACCACAAATTCGAAATTTATTTCAACAAAATTTGGAGTATGAATTAGAAATTAATTATATGAAATTGATTTGGAATGAAAAAAATAGAGTTGGGAGGATTCTATTTATAGATTTTCGTGTATCTCTTTGAATAGTCACATCTTATGGCACAAATTAATTTTAGCAAGTAGATCGTAGATTTACTTTTTTATTGTGTAGATTGCACACTATCAAAAGATCAAACTCATTCCAAAACAATATAACTCTTTAATATGCATCCTTTGCAATTGAAAAGTCGCAATTAATCATCGCATCAATTGAAGACTTTTCCAATTCAAACCTATAGAATATCTCAAAAATTCCTTCAATACTAACTCAATTTTGACAATGTATACAGAGTGAAGCAAGATCAACAATAAGTCCTTCTGCAATTATTCATTGTCATATTCAAGTTCGAGATGACCTCATATCTAGAGTAGGCACAAATACTCTGACAGAAACTATCCTATGGTGCGAAAATCAAGTGTGAAAGTAAATAAACTGCACATTCAAACAAAATGCATGATATGACGAGGCATACTATGAAGCATGATATGTCTTGAATCAATCCACGTACCATTTGTATGCATTATATTGCGGGACATACTATGAAGCGTTACGTGATGAAACCATATTCACCTAAAATGTAATACATTCAAGAAAAATCAAGAAATATGATACATATCAAGGTTATCAATAACAACACATAACAAAGTGGATTTTATTTTGATGGAAACTACGACAAGGTTAAGTGAATAGGTAAATGAATTAATCCATTTTTGTTCCAGATTAGACGTATTATAAATCATAGAACATTTGTTGTTTCGTATGACATATTATGACACATGTTGTCAAGAAAAAAATTAATTTCAAGTCATACTTCGAAACATTTTGAAGAATTTCGAGTCAAATTCACAGTTGCGAGAATATAACCTGTCTAAGAAAAATCATGAAATATGCAAGATATGTAGGTAAGCAATAAAAATAAATAACTGAAAAAAATTAATTCGCAAAATTTTTTACAACACATGTTCTAAAAAAAAAAAAAAAAAAAAAGGATGATAATAAAATTTGTGAGACATAAAACAAACTTGATGTGATGAAACTTGAATCAACTTATGTTCACTAGAAAGAAGAAAATAAAACCAAATAAACACATTATTGTAGTTTGATCCAAATTTTAGTGGGTATTAGAATTTTCGTTGAAGTGTTCTTATTTATTTCATTATTAACATAATCTTACAATTAATTCAAAATTAAGTTTGGATTAACATTTGAGAAACGATTCAAATTGATATAAATAGATTTTACGTAAACTGAATAAAATAATAAGTATAGAAAAGTGTAACCTAAAAAATACTAAAATGAATGGTGTTAGTGAAGAATTTGTTTCACCACCGTGAGCAACAGCCAATTAGAGAAGGTGGCCACTGGCCAGCGAAGACACGCGTCTTATTTGCGCTCAACATTTTTCCACGCGTCACCTTATACAATAAATAAATATTTATTAACTTATTTGTTAGGGTTCATTATTATTATTTTTTTTTTATGGAGTTAATCCAACGTGTCTTTCTCTTAAACATTTTCGAAATTTGAAGATTTTTTAAAAAGTTAGTTTTTGAACAAAAGAAACTTTCATAAAATTAGTTCAAGATGTCCAAAAACAAATTTTAAATTTAAAAAGCTCCTTTTAACTCCTCAAAAATCATGCCAAAAGAATCCTGTTATTTATTTGATACAAATATTTGCTTTTCAAATTGCAAATTTGCTCTATCGCTTCATCTGGGCAAACAATCAGTCTGTACTGACGTTATGAATCTTTTACCTCAAATCGCGATAGTTTTATTTAACTGTGATTCAGATCGTATATTTTTTTACTATGATACAATCAGTTGACGACATAATTAGTGTACTATTGGATTTGTGTAAAAAAGTATGACGCTTTATTTTTAAATTTCTATGCAGTATTACGTCAACCAGTGCGTCTGTTTAGCATGGTTGTTCGAGAGATAAACCGTCAGCAGAGTGAGTGAACTCAAGAAGCAACCCTGCATTTGCCATTCACTTTTACAATTTCTGGGTTCTTCGTTTCTTCAATTGCTGAGGAGAAGCAGCCGGAGAGCTTCGTCTGCCGAAGGTGGCGCCCCCTGTGATCTACAGGTGTGTGGGTTTCGTTCTTGTACAAGTGATAGTAATCTGAAAGATTCTATTTTGTCAACATTTCCCCAATTCTGTATTCTGCATGTGCATATATTTGTGTCTAGTTGTTATTTTCTTTAAATTTTTTGAGAAAAAAATACATTTTGTTTTTCCAACTCAAGTCGGTCATACGTACTCGACTGGGATACCATATGTCAAAGGTCGTTCTTTCCTTCTTTTAGCCGAACCACAGTGAGCTTACCGAGTCAACTCGGTCCGGATAATTGATGTTGGTAATTTGACTGTCAATTGTCTCGTACTTCCAGTGGTAGAGGCGGTGGCTACCGGATAAGTTTGACAGGGTCCCATATATCTCGTGAGAACCTCGCTGATAGGTCCTGCATGTCCCGCTTGAGCTAAGCCCAGTCAATCCTGGGGACCTTAGAGTAGAGGGTCGAGTTGGCAAGTTAAGCTAAACTGAGTATTTCTTTCTAGGATGGAGTCAAATTTAGTGGCAACTCCATTTGAACAAAATAGAGGAGCACTCGATTCACCAACTCAAGTTGAATTTTGGAATCTCTGACTACTGAGTTGATTTTTCCTCTCTTTCCCAATGATCTCACTATGCACCCTTGCTGAATGTCATTTCTTTCACTCTGGGGTGCGGCGTCGATCGAGTGTACTCCAATCTGTTTATTGTGTTATGTGTTAGAATTTAAATCTTTATGAATCTCAAGAACTTGAAAACTCGTTTACCATATTATCAAGATCAGGGACGGATCCAGGATCGGACTACAAGCCTAAAAAAAAATTAAGCCCCTGATTGGTATTGATTTAAATCAGATTTTAATATAAGTCAAAGTCGAACCATATATTTCATGGGTCCCACATCTTTTCAATCGCACATTTCAAAAATTCAATTAAAATCTAATTTTAATTCCTATCAAACATGAACTAAATTTAGACAAAAAAAAAATTTATTGTACTAAAAAAAATATTAAATGGGCTTGCTACAGCCCCCTCTATATATATTTTCCCGTTCAAGAACTTTCCATATCGAATTTGGATATGAAAGAGATTTTTGTTAATGAAAAACCCTTATTCCAAATAAATTTCTCACAATCTCAAATCACCAAAAGAATTATGAAGTGTGGCACATACCTTGATTCATTGGGAATAAGTTTGATTACTAGATCTTGAATTGTGTATTCATACTCATAGTTTATTGGTCTTCGTTGCTTGTTCTTGATTGAGGTTTCTTGATATTCCTCTTCGAAACGTTTCTTCTTGATATTCTTATATTAATGGGATGACATAAAGAATGAGAAGTCAATTATGATTTTGGGACCATTTTGGCCCATCATGAAATTCAACCTAAAATGATTCTAGTCTCTTCACATAACTAAGCACATACCATATTAGATGCCCAAAGCCCAATAACTCTAATTTTTTATTAGATCACTTTAACTGGGCTTAACTTTAACTTTTAATACACAATTAATTATAGAGAAGACTACACAACTACAACATTACAAAAACACATTTCATAAATAACAAATTTATTGAAATATTTCAAAAATCAGGTGGTAAATATATTTATTAAAAATTAAACTATAATAAAATATACATTAATTATTTCCACTCCATGCCACCTCACTCACCCCATCCTATCACCCCACTATACCATATTCCCTCCACCTCTCCACCGGAGATAGGCAACCGCTCTGGCCTTCACTTTGGCGACCGCTTAGACAGTAGCTCCGGTGACTGGTCCGACGATTGTTCCTACAAACTGCTGCATCAAACTGCTCCAGCGACTATTCCATCGATTGTTCTTGCTCCAGTGATAGAAAAATCTCCAAAAATTGTGATGATCGTAGTGGTGCATTGTAGTTATCAGATTTGCAACCATGTTATTTGTGATCATATATGTGTTATATGTGACCAATTCACTGACTTACGTTATCTGAGAATCATCGTGACCAACTTTGCCTTCGGTGTAACTAATTGTGACCAAATTTGCATTCAGTGTGATTGTCTGTGACCAGATCAATCTCAAGTCACAACCAGTCAAATCAATACAAAATTGGTCACAAATAGGCACAACAAGATCCCAAACAGAAGAAACCAGATCTCCAACCACCATAGCAAATCTGTTTGAAAAAGTAACAACCACCTCTACTAACATCTTTAACTCAAATTGATGACCATAAATACTACATTTGCATCAAATCCACAACAATCATCACTACCATGACTTCCTCCAACCCTTCAAAAAGTGCCAACCAACATCATCACACTTCTCTCCTGAAACTCCGTTGAGAGACGTGATAGGTGGTCGGAATCTAGAGTGTAGGTGGGGAAGAAGTCGTAGATCTGATTTTTGGGTAAGAGAGTGTCAAACTAATTTTTGGGGGAAGAAATAGAGTGTGTGGGTTAAAAATTAATACAAGGTCTGGGGTAAATTGATATGGGGTCTGTGACCAAGTTTGTACTCAATGTGACTGTCAGTGACTAAATCAATCTTAAGTCACAATCGATCACAATCAACACAAAATAGGTCACAACCAGATCTTGAGCAGAAAAAATCAGATCTCCAACCACCACAGCAAATCTATTCGAAAAAATAATAACCACCATCACTACTAATATCTTTAACTCAAATCTACAACAACAATTATCACTACCATAACTTCCACCAACACCTTAAAAAAAACACCAACTAATTGATTAATGAATATTTCTCAATAAAGATTTCCAAGATTCTTCTTTAATTATTTCTCGAAAAGATGAGGAAGATTATGAGAGAGAAGCCATAGATCTGATTGTTCTTCACTATATGGTCCCCATGTTCACATTCAATTTTCTTCTCCTCATAGATTGGTTCTGCTTTAGGTGACTCATGTATTGCACTGTCACTTCCCCAAAATCTAAGCTCATCAGCTTTCAAAGAAGAGATTTTGTGCGAAACTCTGACGAGAGAAGTGGTAGGTGGCCGAAATCTAAAGGGTAGAGTTGGGGAAGAAGCGACCGATGAGATTTTTGGGTAAGAGAGTGTTGATCAATTTTTTGGGACGCGAGAGAGTGTGTGTGGGTTAGAAAATGAATCGAAGTATAGGGTAAAAGAAGTGTTTAGGGGTGGTAGAGTGGGTGGGTGTAATCAATTAATTTAAAAATTAGTATTTATCACCTGACCATTGAAATTTAATCTTTCACCCACTTGTTTTAGAAATGTAATCTTGACAAGAAGGGATCTAGGTAATTTTCCCTTAATTATATATGTAGGCCAACGTGACAAATTAAAACCAAACAATATCTCACTTGGCCACATTTGTTACCTTATAAATGTGTATAAACTTATGACGTCAAAACCTTTGCAATCACAAGCAAAAAATCTTCTGAACAATCTCGTCCATTGATTTTTCAATATAAAATCAAACCGATTGTCGTTACTAGTATCATAAATAAATCATCAATTGTCACATATATCAATACAATCAAATTACATAGCTCAAGTATGGACATGTAGCATAGAAATTGGAATGACCCAAATTTTAAAATTCGATTCACAACCACAAGTTTCTTTCAATATTGGCAACATAACATGCATTTATGTATAACATTATGTGATAGCAGTTTACTCAAGGTTACAAGTTTAGTTTCAAATCCTTTATTTATTTATTTATTTTTAATAACGAAATTTTTTTGATACCACATTATTCATATATTTTTCGATAGATTAAATAAAATAAATATACAATTTATGAACTTTGGATTTAATTTGACAGTTGCATAAGAGCTTGCATTTGATTTTATTTAATAAAGCATTCAATTAGTGGTGCCCATAATCGATGATAAATGGTTAAATGAACCACATTATCTTTTTTTATTAATACTAGATTGATGTATCACCTAATTGATGTATCTAATAAATATATTATTTGTATCGCCAAAAGCAAATCACTGGAATTGAACAGGAAAAGTAACTTGAGAAAGGAAGGTCCCTATTTTTATAATCTTTGTCAGTGACTATTCATTTAAAATGGTTAAAATTTTCAGTGGACAATTTCTCTAATAGATTCCATTAAATCTAATACATGCATTTGAATACATTAAACATTTTATTACATATAATAGAAAATAAATAACGTTAAATCTACAAAAGAAATATAACACAAACTGAACTACATGATCGACTAATTATAATCCAAATCACTTAAAAAAATAAAAAATGAGAGAGAGTTCACTTATTGAAATTAAATTTACTACTAAAGAATAAGTTCTTAGTCACATTACACCAAATTTACTTTATTAGGTTCAATGAATCCAAGCACAACAGTAGCATCTCATCACCCATCAACCAATGACCCTTTCTAATACGTGGAAGTAGGGGAAAATGGTGAGTATATGAGAATACTCAATAAGACACAAATATTTGTGCAATCCCGAATAAGAATATCAATTCATGCATCAAAATAATCATACCGTTATATCATATCTTTAAAATCTGGTAAAAGCTAATACATATGATATCATTTATACCGGTGGCCATTATCATTTACCATATCATATTGTGTCAATTTGTAAGTATAATATTTATAAACGTGAAAGAAATAAAATTAAACGGGATAAACCACTTGTAAGTCAAAGTCTTACCTTGATTGGTGAAAACAATTTTTTGAAAGAAAAGCAAAAATTTCACATTTCACAACCTTTTCTCTGATGCAGTGCATGTATATGCGTGTTTGATTCAGTAAAACATATATAAATCTTTTATTGCCAACTTGGAGGACTTATTTGAGGTGGACAATTATTATTCTTTGAATCATTTGAGATATACGTGTAAACAATCTAAAATTTTCTACCATATCATATAGTCAAGCATTTTCCATGCAATTGACACAAGTTACTCACTATTATACCTTTTTCTTTTTCTTTTTTTAATCATGCACGTGCTGGCCAACATTTAAAAATTAAATATGTAACTTAATTAATTTATAATAAAAGTTAACTTCTTTGAA